ACCTTCATCGGGATTTTTTAAAAATATTTTTATTGAAATTTCAACAGAAGAAATTAGTGAATGAACATTAATATAAAGATTAATATAACAAATGCTCTGCGGTGCTAAATTCTCTGATGTGATTGGTTTATTGATCAGCTGCATCAGGCCAGCGAGGGGGCGGCTCTTCGAGGGTCCAGGGTCATTTCTGCTGAGGACATCCTGTTCCTGATGAGGAGAGACAAGGTATGCAAAAAAAACCAAAAAAACAAGATAAAACCAAATACATTCACAAAACTTCAAGTCGTGACATATTTTAAGATATTATAAATATCAGGAACCCCTTTGAGTTACAACTAAAATGTATTTCCCTTCTTGTTCTGCTCTTTCTTTGCGTCTCTCTCACAGAAGAAGGTGGGGAGATTATTAAAATATCTTCAGTTCAGAGATTATAAATCCAAACTACTCAAAGCTCTAGAGGACGACGACACGCAGCAGGAAACAGGTTTCTTCCCTTAGCTTTCATCTTTGTTTCTGTTAAATTTTCTACATTTACACAATCGAACACTGTGGTGACGGTGGTTTTTATTCATCTGCTGTGTTTGGAGATAAGGGAGGAGCTGCAGGCGGCGTTGCCGGCGGTAACCAGCGGAGGCAGCGATTGGCCCAGGACTTTCTGGTGTGGATGGATCAGACCGGTGAACTCCTGTCACTGGCTGAGAGACAAGAAGTCGACGCCGTCAAACAGGAGAGGATGGAGGTCAGAGGTCATCTTCGCGTTTTCAGTTCACTTTGTTCTTCACAGTTTTTTGTGTCCGTCACAAATTGATTTTTTACTGAAGAAAATTGTAATATTTTAAGATCAGCTTGAGGGAGTTTTCTTCAAATCTGGTACAAACGTTCACAAACAAAAGTCAAAGGAGTCGTCCATGTGAACACAAAACACATTTAACATCTTCTTATCGACTTATGCTAGTTACAACTGATTAACATTAACCGTGTGTCTTGTCTTTGTATCTCCAGCGTCTGGAGCGTCAGACTCGATCGATGGACCAGGCCCAGTACTCGGACTTCTGTGAGAGTCGACAGCTCAGCTTTGGTGCGATTTAAATCAAGTCATTTACTGAGTTGCAGCGCTGAGCGTCCTGCATTTTTGAAAAACCAGATTAATAGTATGAAAGTTGTTCTTTGTGGTTCTTAAAAAAATCTTTTCGGGACACGTCTGACCTACTTACCGGAGTTAAACTCCACTGAGCTAATCCTGATGTCCTGCTCGTGTCTGCGTGTAAACGTGATTACAGCAAAGAAAGCCTCAAAGTTTCGGGACTGGCTCGACTGCAGCGGTTTGGAGCTGAAGCCAAACAACATCGCCATGGAGATCGTGTCATACCTGGCCTATGAGACGGTTGCCCAGGTAACGTGTTCATTCATGTCGTCTTTATGTGTCGTGTCTGCGTCGCTTCATTTATCAAACACTTCTCTTTCTTTTTTTCTTTTTTTTCCTTCAGATCGTGGATTTGTCTCTGTTGGTAAAACAGGAAATGGCAGCAAAGACGAATCCCATCAGTCATGTGATCTCTGCCAGTTATATTCACTACAGCACACACACTGAGGTACAGACACACACACACACTGCGGCACCATGTAATGTCTGTGCTGAACCGTCTGTTTCTCCTTCAGGTCAAAAAGGATCCAGACTCACCTGAGGCAACTCCACCCTCCACTCCAGGCTCCTCCCACTCATCAAAACCCCTCCCACAGGGGAACGGCAGTCTGGACGGCCGAGCGAGACAAAGGAAACGCAAAAAGGTTTGTGCGCGGCTGCGTCTGTGGTTCTGTCTGTGTGCGGCTGGTTGTTTTTAGGTTTGACTCAGGACTTTCTTTAGCTGTCATGTGAATTTTTCCGCTGTGGGATGAGTCGTCACTTCTACACCTGACATACTTCCCCTTGTTTCATTCCTTTAATGCTGGATTGTGTTTCAGAGCTGTCCGGCCACAGTGGAACCTCCCAGCGGAGCCATCCAGCCCTGTCACATCAGAGAGGCCATAAGAAGATACAACTACAAACACACAGTATGTGCACAACTTTCTCTTTCTTAAATGTAAAAGCCTGCTTGTATCTGTTCTACCAACTGTCCAAAGTTTAGCTGAAATCTTCCAAACTTTTAAGATTTGTATTTACGCTGCAGCATCAGCACTAACATCAGACTTCAGACCTGAAGTTAAAAAGTTAATGCCAGTGAGTGACTATCACCACCAGCTGCTCCCGGCTAGAAACCATCAAGACTTAAATTAGACTTTTCTTTGTTCTGTCGACGAACCTCCGAGCAGTTTGCTCTAAAAATATTTCCCCTTTCAAACATTCCCACGTTATTCGTCTCAGTGTTTTGATTTTACCTCCCGATTTAAATTTTTACCAGCAACTAAATTATCTCTAAATCTGTGGGAGAAAGATTCAGACTTGTTATAAAATGTCAGATCTGTGTATGAAACTATTTTATATAACGACTCCTTTCCCGTAGAGCTCCTACAGGAGGAATGGGATGGCGTTCCTCGCCTGCTGAGGATCATCATCAGACACGTTTCTACCTGCACAGATTATTTTTGTTCCATTGCTTCAATAAAGAGTTTTCAGTTCCACCTGTTTTTAAGTCTTTGTAAAAATTCACCAGATTGAAAAACGCACTGAGAGGTTGTCATTGTTGAAAAGAAACTTTATTGGTCACTAATACAGAAACACGACTCGTGACATCATAGCAACATGAGCACATGGAGGCGGGGCTAATCCATGGAACTGCCATAATGTTTGAACAATTTGAAAATGACAAATGTTAATCATGACGTCTCTGTTTGTTTCTGAACGCTGCTGTCGCTCTGACATCAGTGTTTGTACGTGTGTACTTTGTGTGAATGTGTGTTAGCGTGTGTGCTGCTCAGTACTTCTGAGCACTGTTGACCAGCGACTCTCTCTCCATCAGCAACTCTCCGTATCTCTGCTGCAGCTCCCTCTCTCTCTCCATCTGCCTCTCCACGTCCTCCCGCAGAGCCTGCAACACACACACAGAGTCAGATATTGATCAGGCCCTGGTCACGCTACATCAACACAGTATTGCAACAAGGGTTTATCCGACAGCATCATCTTGAGAAGTGTGATGATTAGATTTTGTACGAGTTCACACAAATTTGAATCTTCTGATGGTTCTAATGATAATCGATGGTTTTAATGAAATGAGCCATTCATGCTCTGAAGACCGTGTCGTCACAAAGCTACAGAACTTTAACAGTGACTCATTGATCGTTTGCAGACATACTGACACATGTAATGTCCATTATGAAGAAAACTGTTTTCAGATTAAGTCACTCGAGGTCATTTAGAAATTCTAATTCCGCAGGAATTTGCTGCAGGAACTTAAGAGCCTTTGGAAGAACTTCATGCGTTTCCACCGCAGGGATCAGGGTCTAATTTAAGTTTTAGGGAATTTTTTTCTTCAACGGTGCAAAAAGTCCCCGCTCGAGGGGGGGGGAGCAGAAGGCTGTGGGGGGAGGGGGGCCTACAGCACCGATGATTGGTTTAATACTCCTGCATTTTATTTCATAATTTTTAAACTGTTTCATCAAACATACTATAAAACTTATCTGCACTCAGGTAGCATATTGTTGGGTACCCCTGGTTAAACAATAGGTGTGAACTGAGCATCATGGTCATTGTTCGTGTTTCTACAGTGGAGTTCATTTAAATCTTATTACATTTCTGCCTAATTATCAACACCGATAGCAACAATATTTACCAGGTGCATTATTACCTGTAGTCTGTTTAGAATTCAAGTCAATGAATTAAAGAAAATGTCACGTGAAAGAAAACCCAGTAAGAACAGGAATTCCACATAATTCGAAAAACAAAAGCTGTCGCGTATTTCTTGTTTGGTAAACGTCTTAAATTAATCGGCGTCAACTACTTGATTTTACACTTGTTCTGGTGCGTGTGCACGTTAACCGTGTTACCTCTTGTCTCCTGGGGATGGCGGTATCCTCTTGTTTCTTCAGCTGAGTGAAGGTCTGGAGCTCCGTGGCTGCCTGCTCCACCTAGTGGACACCACGTGGGTATTATTTTTTTTATTACAGTATAAAAGTCAACACAATCCTTTTAAAAGTCTGCAAAGGGAACTGATCATTTTAAAAATACTGATTATCGATTAACTGAATCTGTTTTTCAGATATCAATAATACATCTTTTAGCAAATAATAAAAAGCAACTGAGATGTTCTGTCAAATGAAATCGAAATAAAACATTCATGTGTGAAGTGTTTAGTAGTTTCATATTATAACGTGTGTGTAGCATGAGTCGTCTTTAAGCTGCAATAATAACTCAGCAGCTGTGACTCCTGCTAAGCTGCATGAGGTCAAACATGAAATGAAAATGTGAAAAGTGAAATAAACCATCTTCAAGTTAAATATGACGCAGAGTGCAGAATAAGTTCTATTCATTTGTGTTTGTTGTACCTGTTCCCAGAGTTCATTGTGCTGCTTCAGGAGCCCCAGCGCTCTGGACTGAAACCCTCCCAGCAGGATTTTGAGTTTCTTCTCCAGCTTAGCCGCTCTCCTGGCCTCCGCTGTCATGTGACCACGGTTCATCTGAAGGGAGACGGACACACGGACGTCAGTGTTTTGAGTTTTTGTGTAGGATTTGTTTTGTGTTCTGCTCCTGGAGTGATTTCAGTAGGAGTTTTAACAGATGAACAATGAACTCTGGTTCCTCACCTCTAGTTTTTTCTCGAAGCTTTCAATTCGGTCTTTCTTTGATGCCAGGTTAGCTCGGGTGTATCTGTTCTGACCAGGTAGATATAACACCTGCAGAAAGAGGGAGACACAAGAACGAAGGCTGATGACATGACGTGTCTACGAGGCCGCAGGGAAAGAGCAAACGTTTGGATTCGGTCTCACCTGTCCGTAGCACTCCTCCCACACCTGGCTGTAGGCCTCCATGCTGAGGTCACCGTGGCCCATTCCCATCTTCACCACCTCCATTTCTGCTGCCAGTATCACTTTAGCCTGTTTGTTAACACGTCAGATTCACGTCGTCAGTAACAAGCACCTCTAGTGCACAGACATCTACAGATTCATACAGCTCTGTCAACATTCTAGTGCCGGTCTCACACACATTATATTTTTATAACTCAAACTAAAGCAATCAGCTGATTCATCATGTAGCCTATCAGTGTTTGTGAGTGTTACCTGATCCATATCCTCTGTGCTAACGGGCTTGTAGGGGTGTGTTTCCAGGAAAGCGATGTGCGACGCGTTGTTGGACGTGGACGTGGGGCCTCTGGTTTTGCCGCGCTGAAGCTGGTTCCCTGCGTTGGCCGACGGGTGGTGCAGGCAGTCGTGGTGCAGCATGGTGATCATTTCCTGTTTGATCATCTCCTCGGCCAACTGGAGGTCAGGGAGCGGCTCTATGGAGGCGGGACGGAGGACGGACTCGTTCACCTGCGGAGACGAGTGGCGACATCATCAAAATCCTAAAATTTTTGTCTAAAGAACAGGACACTCATATTTAATCTCTTCAGGAAGTGTGTGTTTGTTACCTCAGTGGGTCTGGGGAGACTTCTCTGAACAGACGTGTGTCGCAGCTTCAGCTCCTTCTCTCTTTCTGCATCGTGCTGAGCCTGAAACACAAAAACACCAACGTTAAACTGTCGGGTTGGAAACTTTATTTAAACTATAGGAGCATAAATTTGATTTCATGTCACAGAGATATTTATAAACACTTCCTATCAACCCCCCCCACAGACAACACTAGTGCTTGTTTACCTGTTTGCGCGCCTCTATGTCAGCGGAGTCCTCTATGAACCCGCTCTCCGCCTCTGTTTCTTCAAGTTCTTTCTCTGCGTTTTCTGGAAGAACGATCTCAAAGTCGTTCTTGGGAACAGGAAGTGACATCAGGCCCTGCCTCAGCTGCTGCAGGCTTTCCCTTTGCTGCGTGTGGAGCAGAACAACAACAGTTAGTTTGTAGTTCATATAAAACACAGTCTGGCATCAGAAAACTTGAACTGATGTTTAAATTCCAAATATTAACACGTGTGTTGTGTGTAATGAGTTCACCATGTGTTTAGCGTATGCAGGGTCAGTCAGCTGCTCCTCGCTGTTTATATTCAGCTTGTCTCTCAGAGGCGTACGAGCAGGGGTCAAACCCGGGGTCGTGGCCCCACGTGGAGTCATCACTCCTCCGGGTTGGGGGGTCATGCTCTCCGACCCCTGACCTGGTCCAGGAGTTCTGTTCAACAAGTCCATGAACGTTAACATTTACAGAATCAGCTGGTTTATCATTTGCACGTGTGGTGTGGAGCAATGCCAACCTGAATGGTGTACTGATGACAGTGTTGGGCGTCTGAACCTGCTGCCGCTGAGGCGTCACTCCACTGAAGTCGCTCTCGTGCAGCGGCGTGTTGAGGCCTCCCTTCAGAGGAGTGTCGATGTTGGTCAGAGCCATCAGGTTCTGGGCTTCCTGCAAACACACACAGAGAAAGGAGATCAATATCCAAAGCTGTGCAGGATGAACATTTTACAGAAAACAAGATGTCTACTCTTGCTAATATTTGTTAGGAAAACAAAAATACTCATTTTGTTTTTGCACAAAAAATCAGTTTCAATACAGTTTGAGCTTTTATTAAAGATTGAATTAATCGGTGACGGGTTGCCATAAACAGAATAACAAAAAATATCATTGAAAAATATATTATTATGGAAGAAATAACAAAATACATGAAACTGAAACGTCCCTGCGCACACATGCAGTGTGTGAATCTTCGTTACCTGCAGTATCCTGTCCTGGGCAGCAGGGGTGCGTGGGGTACGCAGTCCTGTTGCCATGGTGTTGGTGAGGCTGTACTCTGACAGGAGGGTGGACGAGGCCGAGTTTCCACTTTCACTCTCCTCAGCGGCCTGACGGGCGACCTCACTGGCCACACCCAACTTAACCACCTCCTCCAACTCAGCGTCGCTGATCTGTGAAGTAAAATATAAATAGATAAAGTATCTGGTCAAATAAATCACGGAGTGTACTTTGACTCCACGTGTCTGAGAGGGTGAAGTACAGCGGGTACCTGTGGTGCAGGTAAAACCAGCTTGGAACGTTTTTTGGTGAACTCGGCAACTCCGCTGGTTTGAAGGATGGCAGACGGCAGATCGCTTTCTTTCTTCTTCTTTATCTTCTGTTTGTCTTTCTTCCTGTCCCTTTCCTCACGCTCACTACAAACAAACAACATGGTTTGTGAATGAAGATCATACATTTAAGTCATGGTGTGCAGTGTTTGTGTTTCAGTTTTGTGAGTATGAAGTTGTAAAGTATTAAAATAACTGTGTAGTAACTGTATTTCTGTTAGTGTCGGTTTCTTGCATGTGCTGTTGTTACTTAACTCTCTGTGTGTGTGTGTGTGTGTGTGTGTGTGTGTGTGTGTGTGTGTGTGTG